AGTCCTGAACATACCAACTGTAAAGTCAGTCACCTTGGTAATTCTGCAGTGTTTGGCTTTAATGACCTGCTGTGTTTTTTATTTGAATAGCAGATCCTTCTGGCTGTCTCATATTTCTTGCAAGTAAACTTCTTTCCTTTTCTTACTGCTGTTATCTGAGTCTTCAATTCACTGGGAATCAATGAAATGCACATTAAAATAAAATATTAAAATATCAAGGTACCATTTTCACCTATTCAGTGGGCAAAGATGTATTTTGCCAAGATACTGCTCAATGCCAGCTGGCTGGACAGTAAGTTGGGCCCACCTACGTGGCTACTAACTTTTAAAATATACACTTTAAATCCTGTAATTCTAGTACCTGCAATTCAACAATGGTTATTTAGGTATATCCTAAAATTAAAAAGAAACAAACACTAAAATGTCATCAACTTACAAACAGTCAAATACATTTTTTAAGAATATGTAATACTCTGGGGAAATGCTCTTGATTTAATGTAAAATGAAAAAAGTGGGATCATACAGGATGATGGAAAATTTGCTAATAAAACCATATATATGGCATTTTCAAAACTGATAAGAAAAAGAAAGCATTTAAATCACCACCCTTTCCTTTTCTTTAAGGAAAAAATAATTTATATGACTGCTGTCATTTAATAACAGAGCACACTAGAACTTATAAAGTTCAATTAAGGTGGACTTATATATAATGTTGTGTATTAAGGTCAGTTAAGGTGGGTGGGACTGGATGTGGTGGTTGGGAATGAGCAGAAGAAACAAGAGCGGGGAAGAAAGAGCTGGGATAGGGTGGGGGACGGAGAGAGACAGACAGACAAACCTAGAAACTTAGGCAGAACGATCAAATGAAACCAATTCCTAGAGCACTGTTTCATGTCCTCTCTCTCTCCTGCCCCCCCCCCCCCCCCCCCCCCCCCCCCCCCCCCCCCCCCCCCCCCGTCTGTCTGTCTCTCTCTCTCTCTCACACACACACACACACACACACACTCTCTCCCGGCTATTGTTTCAGAAGGTTCTCTAACAGAAACCAACAAAGAAGACAGCTCTCTGAACCAACAAGAACACAGACTCTCCTGCAGTTACAAGTGAAAGGAAACGATGTTCACATCGAATCCTTGTCAGAACAGCAGGACATCAGAGACGGCTCAGAAGTTGTGGTGGGCTCTTCTGGAGACAAAATAAATCTTATGGCAAACGGCTCTACACCCTTCCCTGGAATCACCAATAAATGTCATGCGGGGGCTCCCACCTCCGGGAGGCGGGGACTTGGGCTCAGGCTACTGAATTATTTATTAGAGCCCTAATTTACAACAATGAAACCAGTTTAAACAAATTAAAAGGGCAGGTAAGGGTAAGCAAGCACTGGCTGAAAGAAAAGAACAAGCTGTTATTTACAAAGGACACACAGGCACAGGCGCAGACATGCCATGTGATCAGAGAGGCAGCATACCAACAAATTAGCAAACGTCTTTTGCAAAGATCAAAAACAGGAGTAATTGCCCACAGCCGGCCCAGGTACCAGCTGCTGAGCAAGCGATCCTGGCTTCTGTCGGATACAGAACTGGCTCTGTGTAAAGAGCTTTGAAATGCTGGGTCAGATGAGGTCTGTCCTATCTCAAACTGAGACTCACACCTTGAATTGCCCAGGTTTGAGAAGGCCTGACTGGATGAAAACCCTCCAAGGAGCCTGCTTTAAGTAACAGGGAATGTCCCAGAGCCGGAATTAGGAAAGTGTCACCAACACAGGAGATTTAACACTCGGTGCCTGGAAAATAAAGCAGGGTTCCTTGGCACAGTATGAGAGAAGCAGGTCGAGTTAGCAGCTTAGCAATTCAGCTACCCCTGGAGAGAACCCAAGAAGCCATCCAACACCCGTGAGTGCCCTGCTGGGTGTGCATTTCAGGAACCTCAGGGTCTTTGATTCTTGTGTAGTCACTCCTTCCAATAAGTCAAATTGGCCCAAGCCCTGAGGTGGCTGCATATAATGTAACAGAAAGTTCAAGAGGACCTCATGCAAGATGTGGTCCATATATACAATGGAATACTACTCAGCCATAAGAAAGAGTGAAATAATGCCATTTGCAGCAACGTGGATGGACATAGGCATGATCATAAACACTAAGTGAAGTAAGTCACGAAGAGAAAGACAAATATCATACGATATCACTTATATGTGGAATCCAAAATAGGACACAAATGAACTTATCTATGAAACAGATAGAGACTCACGGACATAGAGGACAGACTGATGGTTGCCAAGGGGGAGGGGGTTGCGGGAGGAATGGAGTGGGAGGTTGGGATTAGCAGATGTAAGCTAATACATATAGAATGGATAAACAACAAGGTCCTACCGTATAGGACAGGGAACTATATTTAATATCCTGGGATAAACCATCATGGAAAAGAACATTAAAAAAAAGAATGTATGTACATGTATAACTGAACCACTTTGCTGTACAGCAGAAATTAACACAACATTGTAAATCAACTATACTTCAATTAAAAAAAAAGAGGACCTCGCACACATATCTGTGAGTTAGATAACGGCAGGATGCACAGAACAGACATATCTTCCTGCCCCCCTCCCTCCTGTTTCCTTTAACTCGGAAAAGTGGCCTCAGCCTCAGCGCTGGGGCACGGCTGTGACACTGAGACAGATGTAGGGCAGGACTGTGGCAGGGAGATGTTGACAACACCCGGTAAAGGGATGAAACTTTCTACCAACATGCAAAGTGGAGTTGTACTGCCCACCTGGAACCGTGAGCTGGTCATCGTAGCCACGAGATCATAACAACACGACAGGGCACATAATCAGGGCACAGAGGAAACCAGCACATGGAAGGAAATCCTCGGAGAGATGAGAAGATGGCAGGGAAATAGATTTGACAGCTTGTTGCTGCCAGAGCTTCCTTAGCAAAGATAAGATCAGGATTGGGTTTATTTAAAAAGAGACAAATCCTGGTGTCTACCCAAGATGTTTGTTCCTATTGTATTTAATCTGTTGGCAGAAGCAGGAAAGAAGTCAGTTTGGGGTAAACACTGCTTCAAGCAGCAACCGTTCCTCGCAGAGCAAGTTCGGACACTGGATGCTGAAAATGGACCAAGAAAAAATAGCACATCCTGGCAGCATGCCCTGCGCAGGGGCTTCAGCTGTGTTTTTTGAGAAACACAGACCATCTTCGTCAGCACAGCTTTGAACGCCCACTAAGATAGGAGGTCAGAGAGCGGAGGTGAAACTGGCCATCACACTCCAATTCCTTAGAAAAGGGACATACGGGTCCCTTCCTGAGAGCCATCCAGTCAGTTTTGCTAAACAGAACTGCAAACCCTTAAGACATGTAGAATAAATATTCCTACATTAAAGTGGTTTACAGGAAAAAGTTGAGATTGCTCCTAAAAGACATCTCTATCAGATCTTCTCAGGCCAGCAGGTCAGCGGAGTCACCCAGGGAATCTGGGACCCGCTCAAGACCAGTGAATCCGAATCTCTGAAAATCGTTGTTTGCAGAGCCTTCCAGGTGGTTTCAATATGGACGCAGGGTAAGAAATAGCAGTGTAGAGCAGAGCTTTTCTAACGTTAATGGGCATACATCTCACCTGGGGATCTCCTTAAACCGGAGTTTAATCCCAACAGGTCTGGGGAAGGCTGAGAGCCTGCACTTCTAACGAGCTCAGGGAATGGGGATGCTTGATCCAGGGCTACACTGAGGATGCCAAGGGCCTCTAGAGCTACCTCTTTAATTATGGGCATTGGATTAAGGTTTCGTATCAATAAAGTACAATTCAAAGCCAGGGATAAACCTTTGTATCATTTTGGTCAAAACAACTTTTCTTATCATGTGTGGGAGGAAGACAGGGGTAAGCAATCAGATCAGATGGGCAGAAATCAGAACAATTTTTAATTTTGGTCACATTTTTCAGTAAACATTACTTCAACTGATGAATCAGTAAACTAAATGTGGTACATCCCTACACTGGAATATTATTTGGCCATAAAAAGGAATGAAATCTTGATACATACTACATGGATAAACCTTGAAAATATTACGCTGGGAATTCCCTGGTGGTCCAGTAGTTAGGACTCCATGCTTCCTCTCCAAGGGGCCTGGGTTTGATTCCAGTTTGGGGAACTAGGATCCCACAAGCCTGCGGTGTGGCAAAAAAAAAACCCCAAAATCCCAAAACAAACAACTATGCTAACTGAAAGAAGTCAGTCACAAAAGACCACATATTGAATATTGCATTTACATGAAATGTCCAGAATTAGCATATTTATAGAGATAGAAAGCAAATTAGTTGTTGCTTAGGGCTGGAGGGATGGGGGGAAAGGAGAGTTAGCTAAAGGGCAGGGGGCTTCTTTACGAGGTCATGAAAATATTCTAAATATTCATGAAATATTCTATAATTGTACTAAAAAACCATTGAATTTTACACTTTAAATGGGTGAGTTGTATGACATGTGAATTATCTTTCAATAAAGCTGTTAAAAAATTACTGAAAGGGCTTCCCTGGTGGCACAGTGGTTAAGAATCCACCTGCAATGCAGGGGACACGGGTTCGAGCCCTGGTCTGGGAAGATCCCACTTGCCGCAGAGCAACTAAGCCCATGCGCCACAACTACTGAGCCTGCGCTCTAGAGCCCGTGAGCCACAACTACTGAGCCCGCGGGCGCACCTAGAGCCGGTGCTCTGCAACAAGAGAAGCCACCGCAATGAGAAGGAGCCCACACACCACAAGGAAGAGTAGCCCCCACTCGCCGCAACTAGAGAAAGCCTGCACGCAGCAACGAAAACCCAATGTGGCCAAAAATAAATAAATTTATTCAAAAAAAAATAGTGAAAGATCTTTGCAGTGCATATAAGCAACAAAACATATAAAGAATGTATAATATTTTATGTATTATATATACATTATGTTCTTTATATACTATCTTTAATATGATATAGAATATATAATATAAAATACAAAGATTATGTAAAGCCTTGTAGGAGTAAGTCTATTAAAAAAAAAGGCAAACAACCCAACAGGAAAAGAGACAGAGGATGTGCACAGACAATTCACAAAAGAGAAAACCAGAAGGGTCAATATACACATGGAAAGAGGCTCCACTGATATCAACCAGATATCAGTTCAGACCCATCAGATTGGAAAAAGAAGTGCAAAAATTAGGATGATGACACTAAGCTATGCTAAATGTATTCTCATGTATTGCTGGTGGGAAGAGTAGACTGGTCCAAAATCTTTGGAAAGCAATTTAGCAATATTTGAGTACATCTAAAGTGTGCCTATTCCATGACTTGCTAGTATACACACGTGAGAAAGTCTCACCCATGTATACAGGAGGCATGCACAGGAATATTCTTCCATTATTTTCTGTATTAGTAAAAACCTTCAACAACTTATATGTCATCCATAGGGAAATGGATAACTATATTGGGATTTATTCACATAATGAAAAATTAGCATTTAAGAATAAATGAAGTTGAGCTGCTGTATGTAGTAAAATATTTAAAATATGATTCATATTACCTCCTAGAAGTAGTCTAAAGAGAGCAAAGGTACAGGAGAAAGTCAAGTTGGCAAATACGTATGTGACTTGAACCTGACACTCCATCACCTCCACCCCGTTGCCTTGGCCAAGCCAGTCACACGCCAAGCCCTATCTGCAAGGGCTGGGAGATAGACTCTGTCTTGTAAAGTCTCATGGCCAAGGTGGATTCAGGGAGGGCCCAGGAATTGGGGCCATGATTGAAATGAAACAAAATGAAACGTGGACTCTGTCCAGGCCTTGCCCTGGGCACCTCAGTCTTATTTAGTGGTTCCTGGGCTCTAGACCCCCTCCCCTCCACACCTCATAGACCTCCCTCAGGGCAATCCGACCTCATAACGGCCTCACCCAACACCTCTGACGCTCATCCGCTTTTGATCTGTGGTCCACAATGTTGTCTTGTCTCCTGGACGTCTCCCTGCAGAAGGCCCCAAGCAATTCAAACCAAGTATGGATTTATCTTTTTCTCCCCAGGTTCTTTCCATCTTGAACTTCCCTAATGTGTTCAGGAAACTGTAAGAAGCAACTTATACATGTTCTGACTCTTCAAGAAACCTGACACTATCTACAGACAAGGAAACTGAAGCCCAGAAAGGTTAAGTAATTTGCCCAAAGTCCCACCAGGCCAGAACTAGAATCCCGACTTGACTCCAAAGTCTTGAAACTAGATGTGGACTCCATGTAAGGGGCCAGAAGCTTTTAGAACTTGGTGACTTCTTTTTAAGAAAAAGAATACAGGTAATTCCCAGGCAATCCAGTGATTAGGACTCTGCTTTTTTTTTTTTTTTTTTTTGGTTTTGGGGCCCCTCACCATCGTGGCCCCTCCCGCTGCGGAGCACAGGCACCGGACGCGCAGGCCCAGCGGCCACGGCCCACGGGCCCAGCCGCTCCGCGGTACGCGGGATTCTCCCAGACCGGGGCACGAACCCGTGTCCCCTGCATCGGCAGGTGGACTCTCAACCACTGTGCCACCAGGGAAGCCCCAGGACTCTGTGCTTTTGATGCCGAGGACCTGGGTTCGATTCCTGGTTGGGGAACTAAGATCCCACAAGCCACGCAGTGCAGCAAAAAAAAAAAAAAAAAAAAAAAAAATTCAAGAAAACAAAGTTAGGTACAAGGCTGCGTAGAAGGGGTAAGTATAAGTAAGAGTCTTGAAGCTTAAATTTCATTCACTTCCTGATAAAATAGCCTCTAAATGGAAATCACACTATCTCCAAAGATAATGAATAGGCAAACCAGGGAGAAGATTCAGTTGTGAAGAGGTTTTTTTCTTCACTGCATACCACCGTCCTGGCTGAAACTTCTTTAAAGCATGGAAGGAAGGTCCATCCTTTAGAAGCATTTCCCCAAATATGTTCCTGGAGTCTTTCCTGAGAATAAAAAGGAAGCAGATATTTTTGCTTTTGCCAGAATGTCAGTGTCAGAATAAGAGGGAGAAGAAGACAGACATTTAACAAAGACAGACATGAGTGGGAGTCCAAAATCAAGGAAGGGAAAGAAATCCAGAAGCAACAAAATCCGGTCCGATGTTTAAGTGGATACAGAACAGAGTCAAAGCAAAACATCAAAACTTACGGTTCTGGGTTACAAAGTCAAAACGAAACCTAGATACTGGACAATTGCCCAGCACAAACTCCACTCAGCTCATAAGAAATGCGCGGCCTTCTCGCCACTTGACCAAAAAACCACAGGAACGATGATACTACTTTTTGCAGGCTGCCGACTGCCTGAGGCAAAGTCATTTCCAAAGAGCGACCTCTAGTGGATAGGAGGGTCATCGTTCACTGGAACCGGGAATTTCCTGACAATCATCTTAACCCATTTCAGCTTGCTTTGTATTGATACAAGAAAAAGCCTTCTGGGGTTTTGCTTAAACAGTGAATTTATGATGTTTTAAATTTTAAATTAACGTTTCTTATTTCAACATTCCTCGTGAACAGCTCACTTACATGACATATTCTGTGCCTATATAAACCTTCAGCACCACCAACTCTTACAGCTGTTAGTAAGACGGCTTTTTTAACAAAATTGTAGGGTTTTTTTTTTTCAAATTGTATTTATTTATTTATTTATTTTTGGCTGTGTTGGGTCTTTGTTTCTGTGCGAGGGCTTTCTCTAGTTGCGGCGAGCGGTGGCCACTCTTCATCGCGGTGCATGGGCCTCTCACTGTCACGGCCTCTCTTGTTGTGGAGCACAAGCTCCAGACGCGCAGGCTAAGTAGTTGTGGCTCACCGGCCCAGTTGCTCCGCGGCATGTGGGACCCTCCCAGACCAGGGCTCGAACCCATGTCCCCTGCATTGGCAGGCAGATTCTCAACCACTGTGCCACCAGGGAAGCCCAAAATTGTAGTTCTAAATAACAAAATTTTGCTTTTTATGGTAAAACTGGTAGGAGAGACTTCTAAATTCGTTTTTTTTTTTTTCTTTTTTGGCCACACCTTGCAGCTTGCGGGATCTTAATTCCTGACTAGGGATTGAACCTGAGCCCCCGGCAATAGAAGCACCGAGTCCTAACCACCGGACTGCCAGGTAATTCCCCTGAATTCTTGATAAATATAAAATTGTGTATTTCTCGGATTTATTGGTTTGATTTAGATCTCTGTTATAAAGGTATCCCTAGTAGAGGTTATAGAAGTAATCAGGAAAAGAAAATGAGGTCAGAAGCGTAAATTGCAGCCATCCTTCTGAAGGTTAATTTGGCAGTGTTTGTTAAAATATAAAACACATAACTTTGTGCCAGCCATTCCACTTCTAGTACTTTATCCTCTAGATTTACTTACCTAAGTGAACAGAGATACATGTGCAAGGATGTTTACTGAAGCAATTACCATAATTAGAGAAAACAATCTAAGTATTCATCTGTAATAAATTATGGAAGAGTCATATAATTAAACATGCAGATATTTAAAGGATGTGGGAGGTCCATATTTTCCAATATTAAGACTATAAAAGAAAGTGTTAGAACAGTATTGTTTTATTTTTTATTAATTTTAATTGGAGTATAGTTGCTTTACAATGTTGTGTTAGTTTCTGCTGTACAGCAAAGGGAATCAGCTATACATATACACATATCCCCTTTTTTGGATTTCCTTCCCATTTAGGTCATGACAGAGCACTGAGTAGAGTTCCCTGTGCTATACAGTAGGTCCTCATTAGTTATCTGTTTTATACATAGTAGTGTATATATGTCAATCCCAATCTCCCAATTCATCCCACCCTCCCTTCCCTGCCTTGGTATCCATACGTTTGTTCTCTACATCTGTGTCTCTATTTCTGCTTTGCAAATAAGTTCATCTGTACCATTTTTCTAGATTCCACATATAAGCGATATTATATGATATTGGTTTTTCTCTTTCTGACTTACTTCCCTCTGTATGACAGTCTCTAGGTCCATCCACGTCTCTACAAGTGGCACAGTTCTGTTCCTTTCTATGGCTGAGTAATATTCCATTGTATATATGTACCACAGCTTCTTTATCCATTCCTGTTTTTTTTTTTAATAAATTTATTTATTTTTGGCTACGTTGGGTCTCTGTTGCTGTGCGTGGGTTTTCTCGAGTTGTGACGAGTGGGGGCTACTCTTTGTTGCTGTGCTCAGGCTTCTCATTGCGGTGGCTTCTCTTGTTGTAGAACACGGGCTCTGGGCACGCGGGCTTCAGTAGTTGTGGCTTGCAGGCTCTATAGCGCAGGCTCAGTAGTTGTGGTGCAAGGGCTTAGCTGCTCTGTGTCACGTGGGATCTTCCCAGACCAGGCCTCAAACCCATGTCCCTTGCATTGGCAGGCAGATTCTTAGCCACTGTGCCACAGTCCCGTCTGTAGATTTTTTGAAGAACAGTATTATGTTTTAATACCTAATACATGCATGAACACTGTGTATGTATACAAGTTTTCAGGAAGAATTGAGTGATTGCACCTTTGACCTTTCCAGTCACTGTCTGACTTTGTTTCACCATGAACGGCCATTACTCAAAGGAGGTGACATAACCTAAAATTTAAGAACCCAAACTCTGAAGGCAACCCGCTTGAGTTCAAATCCTGGCTTTATCAATTACTATCTCTGTTAGGTTAAGTTCTTTAGCCTCTTTGTTCCTTAGCTTTCCCGTCTGTATATGGGATGATAAATTTTGAGGATTAAATAAATTCATATATATGAAGAACCAGAGAAGTAAAGCTAAAAGTGCTTTACCACTATTATTTTAACTTACAATTTTAAAAACTAGGTGTTGATATATTCAGGGAAACTGGGTGGCCCTGAGAGTTTTCTGTACTATCTTTGCAACTTCCTGTGAATCTATAATTATTTCAAAATAAACAGTTCTTAAAAAGTTGTTTAAAACAAACCACTGATATAAAAGATGGTCAAGATATAATGTTAATTGAAAAAAAAAGCAAGCTGTATAGTAAGCTCTATTTTGTGTAGGAAAATGGGAAAGGGATTAAGTATATATTTGCTTATGTAAAATGAAATTCTAGAAGAGCACATTAGAAACTAGTAACAGTGGCTACTTGGGCAGTGGGCAAATGGGCTTTGTTTTGGAATCAAGTGACTGTTTCCCAAAGGTTATTTTAAATAAGAGGTATAACAAAAAAGAATCACAAATAACACTTATATCAAAGCATGAAAGCACCGCATTTCCATTTGCAACAAGTTGAATAACACCAACTTGACAAATTACGAGTTCAATGATGAAGGTACTTTTCCAATGGCTCAATTTTACTCAATGTGTAAAATTCAGAGATGTTTCATTCCTTAGTTTTTGAAGCGGAGCTGAAGAGTCACTCCTTTTGGCTTCAGCTAGACAAGGTTTTTATTTTTTAAAAATTTATTTATTTTTGGCTGCACTGGGTCTTCATTGCTGCGTGTAAGCTTTCCCTAGTTGCAGTGAGCAGGGGCTACTATTGGTTGCAGTACGTAGGCTTCTCATTGCCGTGGCTTCTCTTGTTGCGGAGCCTGGGCTCTAGGCACGTGGGCTTCAGTAGTTGTGGCTCTAGGCACGTGGGCTTCAGTAGTTGTGGCTTGCGGGCTCTAGAGCGCAGGCTCAGTAGTTGTGGCGCATGGGCTTAGTTGCTCCATGGCATGTGGGATCTTCCCGGACCAGGGCTCGGACCCATGACTCCTGCATTGGCCGGCAGATTCTTAACCACTTCGCCACCTGGGAAGCCCTAGACGAGGTTTTTAGAGTTGACAGCGGGAATGTAGGCTTATCGAAAATCTAATGACATTGCTAATTAGAAGCTTTTGAAATGAGGAAGACAACTTAAGGACACTCCAGTGTTAAAAGAAGCACATGTTAGGGAGGTCCCTGGCAGTCCAGTGCTTAGGACTCGGAACTTTCATTGCCAGGGCCTGGGTTCAATCCCTGGTCGGGAACTAAGATCCCACCAAGCCACGTGGCATGACCCCCCCCCCAAAATATATATATATGCACATGTTATAAATCCTGGACCTTGACGGCATTAATCCTGGAGAAGGGACAATTACATATACAAAGTCTGGACTTAGCTAGCTAGTCCTGGGAGGAGAGGAACAGACATAACCACAGTGTACCCACCCACATTCCAATACAGCCTCCTGTGTCCAAACAAGTGATGCCAAGATAGATACTAGGATGCTATAGGGACCAATGTATAAATTCTCTGAAATCTCTTGATATTTCTGTAAGTTCCATCTCGTCTTAACTCCTCAAATGTCTTTTTAGCAACATCTTAGGGTAAGTTATGCCAGCTGCTGTAATAAATAACACTTAAATCTCAGTGGCATAATAATGATTTTTGTAACTATCACAGTCCAACGTGGGCCGAGGGTGGGGGGACTCTCTCCACACAGTCATGTAGGAATCCAGGCTTTAGGAGCCAACATACAGCTTCCAGGTCATCCTGGAAATTGATATCTCGTCAGCACACAGGAAAAGAGTAAAGACAAACAGAATCATAATCCTAGGAAGTGGCATTTTTTTCTTCCCTATGTCATTGGACAGAATTCAATCACCTAACTGCAGGGGAGGCTGGGAAATGTAGTTTGTGCATCTCAGAAAAAATTTTATAATTTAGTTAATATATATCCTTGTCTCTGCCATAAGCAGCTGTAAGTCTTTCTCCTTTGTTAGGATTTCCTGGGGTGGGATAGGGAGGGTGGGAGGGAGGGAGACACAAGAGGGAAGAAATATGGGAACATATGTATATGTATAGCTGATTCACTTTGTTATAAAGCAGAAACTAACACACCACTGTAAAGCAATTATACTCCAATAAAGATGTAAAAAAAAAAAAAAAAAGATTTCCTGCTTTTCAGTGACCTTCACAGTAATCCTTTGAGCTAGACTGCATGGATATTATTCCTGCTTAAACAATGAGGAAAATGCACTTCAAAGAGGACTTGGCTGCCTTGACCAAATGTATACTAAGACAATGAAGCATGATCTCGAACCCAAGCCTTGCCACAGTGCTACACCTCCCACCCAAACCAAAGGGGACGCAGCTCGCTTCAGGACTCAAATCAATCACACCTTCAGTAAAGTAGTAGATTATGATTATAGCTTTCTCATACAACTTATTTCCTCAAAATAAAAAAGAAAGAAAAGGTTCACCATCAACTTAAGTTTACAAGTAGTCATAAAAAGTTATAAAGATTATGTGGTAAAATTTTAATGGAAATATATTTGGGAGAATAACAAAACTGGTCACATACAATAAATTCTGGACAAATTTCAGACTTTATTTTTTCAAAAATTGCCTCTCCCTCTTCTTTCTTCTGGAACTTCTCTCAGATGTATGTTGAATCTTATCCTATCCTCTACTTACTTCTTAAATTCTCATTTTCTCTGCTACTTTCTGTTAATATCTCCATACCTATTTTCCAGTTTGGTAATTCCCTCTACAGCTCTGTCAAATCTACTCTTTAATCTGTCCAAAGACATAATGTAAATTATATTCATCTCAAGATGTTCTAATAGGTTTGTTTTCAAGTCTCTTTGGTTGTTCCTCCATCCCCAACAGTAATTTGACCTTAATACTTTAATCCTCCTTTTATGTCTCTATTTTTAAAATTACCCCTCAAAGCATCTCTCATTTTGCTCAATTAAATATCTGGGCATCTAATTCTTCTGTTTTCAAAAAGCTGTTGACTTTCACTCACAATGAACTATTTTGCAATTATTTTATAATTTTAAAAGTGCATATTCAGTGGGAATATTTGTAGGAAGTGCATACTTATGGGAAGCCTGTGCAGCCTGGATCCAGAGTGATTTCTGCAGGTGTTTTTGTTTTTGCTTCTGTCAGTTACCTACTGGCATTACTGGCCCAAGTTCTGATGTTTATGCTAACTTTGGCTTGTGGTTCCTGGATATAAAAATTCAAACCCAAAGCCTGTTTGTGGTGCTGGCATGATCACAGGTTTTCAGCAGAGACCTTTTTCTCTACCCAGAGTCCAACTTTCTTGCTTCTTCCCATACATGTGTTTTCTTAGCCCATTTTCTTCCCAACAGTGTAGCCCTTGGAGGTTCTAGCATAAGTTTTACAGCCCAAACCCCTAGGTGATAATGGAGAGCACTCCCACACCCTCCCCTGAAGCCACAGAGCCACCTCAAAGCCTTACTGCTCTGGCCATCAGCCCCCATTTGTTTCAGGCTCCTGGGGATTTCCCTCACAGTCCACTGGATGGCTGCAACTGGAAGGCCTCCATCCTACATTTAAAATTTTATAAAAAGATCAGCAAGCAATAGAAAGGAACACAGACAAATGGAAGCAGATGTGTTTGAGGAATGCATTAGAGATAAAGCCTTTCTTTTAAAATTTGCCTTTTTATTGTTGTCAGTGCAACACAATTCAGGAACGAAAAAAAAAGAGCTTCTTAAAGCTATTAAATAAGCTGATTTTAAAAAACAGGATCAGTAGCATAGGTTTGGGGGATTAAATGTTTATTAAATCAAGCTTTTAAATTATATCCACCTACAGTCTGTAAACAAACATAGTACATGTGTAGGTAAAAGGCTCAGATTAGAGCTAGTGGAAAAACTGAAGATCCCTTTGTACAGTGGCACCTCACTACTCCCTGGGCCGATACCATGGGGCCAATGTTATAGCTAAGAGTTAAATGAAAAACCAGAAGGAGTTTAGCTCAATTCCACCTGCTAGGATGGGTTTCAAGACAGATATTTGTTCCACATTATAGTAGGTTGGATTATACAAGGCAACAGTGTAGAGTTTTTACATTCACAGATTTGGCTGAAACAGTATAAATTAAGCTTCTCTTCTAGATGTCTCCCTCCCCTATTACCATAATTAGTAAGAAAGGTGAATTAAAATAAATGATGGACCACAGGTGGTTATAAAAATAGATAACTCGTAGAGTAATAAATATCTACAGTTAGCAAAGCACAAACTTATATAAAATTTACCTTTTTCCATATGTGCAGAATATTATAATTATGTTCAAGAGGTACAGTCAGAAGACCTCAGAGTGGTAAGAGGGCATTTATAAAGAAAAAACACTCAAGTACAAAACCCAGAGTAGGAAGCTGAATGCAGATGAGAATATACAAAAGACAAAATCCGAATTCCTCACATCTGATGATCCTACTTGACAGACACCACAATTAGCTTACAGCCCTTTATGTATCTTAAAAAGCAACACTTTGTTACCTATGTACAAACTTTTCAAAAGATTAATTATGAGACAAGCAAAAATGGATTGACTTAACAGTGGCCCTAAAATCAATGAAACTTGTAGCATTTTGTGTGCTTTCATATACTTCTGTGTAGAGGAGTTTTTAAAATTCCCACAAAACCCGTTCTATAATCATTTTGGGTATAGAAGGGAAAAAGTTCCAAGCTGGAAAATAAAAAAGGTCAAAATCTCGGGCTTCCCTGGTGGCGCAGTGTTTGAGGGTCCGCCTGTCGATGCAGGGGACACGGGTTTGTGTCCCAGTCTGGGAGGATCCCACATGCCGCGGAGCAGCTGGGCCCGTGGGCCATGGCCACTGGGCCTGCGCATCCGGAGCCTGTGCTCCGTGGCAGGAGAGGCCGCAGCGGTGAGAGGCCCGTGTACCGCAAAAAAAACAAAACAAAACAAAAAGGTCAAAATCTCAAAGTGACTGAAAATCCATGAATATGTAAGACATTCATAACATTCCCTTAAACACTTATCAAGTACTATGTAAGGTAACTGCAATGTTATCCTGAAACCAATCACATTTACGAAGATACAGTAATTCCCATTCTAATTCTAGAATTAAAAGCACTTAGTCCACACAATGTGCGTTTCAGCAAGGTTGACATCCACTTGGCTGTACCTCATAGTGTCACCTTAAAGCTGCGTCAAAGATCCATGGCAGACCTGAACTGTAAAGGTTCAGAATGAACACCACCACAGGTAGTCATTCATCCTCATTTTTTGCAGAAAGTGAAGGGTATACTTGAGCTGTCCTAAGGTCACCTCAGCCTGGAAACTTTGGCAAGTTTCCTCGCCAAAAAAAAAAATCTCCACAATCTGTCTGGGACTTGCTGGGCTAAATAAACAGGTTCCACTAACACACATTCTACCCCTTCAGGAGGGGTGTACAGATGCAGCTTTTCCCAAACTCACTGGACCTTGCCAGGGAACACCGGAACCACCACTGGATCCCGGGACACTCGTTTCCTATGGAACATGATTTGAGAAATGCCAATCTAAAATAAATTTTCTACAGTAGTGGTTCTCAAACAGTAGTGAGCATTGAAACACATGGAAGGCATGTCAAAGCAGAGACACAATACCCCCACTTCAGAGGTCTGGGGTGGGACCCGGGAACCTGCATTTCTAAGAGACTCCAAGTGAAGCTGCTGGAGTGAGGTCCACACTGAGTGATATCCTTCTAGACAAGGACGCACGCAAGCCTCAGCTGCAGGAAGCCCGCCGACGGCCTCAAGAAAGGCTGCAAATGGCATTTGCTACAACCAATTAGCGTGAGTTCAAACCAGCTCTCAAGCCTGAGAGCCCCTGGCTGTGCCCCTACTCACTGGGCGACAAGGCACAGTGACTGCACCTTAAAAGAGGAATAACAGCAGCCCCCTTTCAGGGGATCTGTGAGGCTTAAAGGAAATATTTGCACAAAAGTACGACCTGACAAAAAAGCATCATACAAGTGTCATTAATCAGAAGCATGTGTCAGTCACAGCAGAAAAATCCCAGATGAGTTTTCTATCTTCTGCCACTGCTGAGCCTTTATGAAAGCACATTCTGGTAGCTAATGAAGAGAAAAGAGGCTAAAAATGCAGAAAACTGCAGTGAGAGGAAAATAGATGAGTGGATTACCTAATTAAAAATAAGTAATTGTTAAAAAAAAAAAGATCAACCCACAATCGAAGTAGTTAATTATGTTGGCTTTGAGATAGTGTTTAAAAGTTACAGTATGTTGATCTTTGAACTCACTCACTCATCCACTTTACCATGTTAATGTTGGTTAAATTTTAACCTCAAGAGAATGAGAAAAAAAAAATTCCTTCACTGGAATACATAGGAATTAGATCCAAAACTTTTTGCTGCGATAGTTCCAATCTGATAAGCTACCACAGTGGGAAAATTTCAACAGTGATTTTTAAAAAGGGCCTTTAATTTTGGTTCATAGAAATATCCACAGAATGAAAAAGGAACACACACTCACACGTTCATATATGTGCGTCTAGATGTTGCCCAGTAACATCTTAGCCAATGAACTTCATCTCGCAATTCAAAAATGAACCTGTAAAAATTCATACACATCTATGATGGGATTACGGTCAAGCAAACATCTTGTTGCCAAGTCCCGGCTTCCATCTGAATCCAAATGACTAATTGGAAAGGCAGGCCTTTCCCTGACAGGTTTCAAGATTCACTTCATATATGCTCTGGATGGCTCTGGAGACAAGACAACATCTCTTGAACGGGCCTGCCTTCGTAGCAGATCTGGTACACCGCAGTGAACAACGGAAACCTGGTCGAGGGGACAGGAAAAGACAAGTTAAGCCATCTGGCCTACCTCACAGAACCAACTAGTCTTTCTCTCCTGCCTAACGGACTACAGACTAGCATATGCTAGTATTGGAAAACAAAGCGACCTCCTTCACATCCCTCCATTATTTGGTCTGCAGAGAGCCTCTGCACGGTGGCTGTAAGAACTTGGTACAACCTAAACCATCCCCTGCCTCGCTGTTTGGAGTGCACCGTCTACACTCACATCCCAGGGTAGTCTTTATAGGGTGATCTGTGGTCAATGACATCAAGAGTTGTGGCTCAGGCTCTTGGCCAAATCTAGAATGAATCCAAGTTTTTGTCACTATTTTAAAAGGTTGGAGAATAAATTTTAAATCGCAGGGAGGTACTGCTCTTGCTTCTCCAAGAATGAAGATGAGGCAGCCCACACAGCACCATAAATAATGCAGGCCTGGAACATTCTCAAAAGAATCAACGTGGGGACCCACAATTGGCGAAGTGCTGATCTCATGTTGGAAGTGGGGGTTTATTCTGCCTTTTCTTCCAAGATGGGAACACAGGTATAAATGAAAGTTTGAAATGGATGAGGGCACAAAGGAGTGAGCTAATAATCCACTGTAAGAAAAGATAACATTATGCCAGGGTACTGCTGGCTCAGCAAGTTATTATTATTTTTTAATGGCAAAAATCACTAAGGAAATAACTTTATAATTTCAATCAGGCTTTTAAACACACACACATACACACACAGCCTAAAGTGAGCTTGAAAGAATCACAGGAATCTTAAAAGCCATTCTGAAAATTATCTAGTTAAGCATCCTATAATGACAATGTAATTTAAGAACAGCAAACAGTGCTGATTAGTCATATGTCTTTATGACAGTCTGTCACTGTGGGGTTTTTTTTTTTTTTTTTTGCGGTACGCAGGCCTCTCACTGTTATGGCCTCTCCCGTTGCGGAGCACAGGCTCCGGACGCGCAGGCTCAGCGGCCATGGCTCACGGGCCCAGCCGCTCTGCGGCATGTGGGATATTCCCGGACTGGGGCACGAACCCATGTCCCCTGCGTCGGCAGGCGGACTCTCAACCACTGCACAACCAGGGAAGCCCCACTGTGGGTTTTTTAAGGTTCAGAATATTCTGGGGGTTTTTTGGAGTCAGGTAGAGAATCAAATCTGACTCCACAGCTTATTAACTTTGGGCAAGTTTCACAAACCCTCTGACCCTGTTGCTCATCTGCAAAATGGGGCTGGACACTCAAGATTATTGTAGTAATTGACTTATGTGTAAGGTGGACAGTACGACACTTGACATATGGTGGATGTGCAATAAATAAACAGCTTATAAATGCAGCCACAGGGTGGCCACTGGGTCCCAGACTGTTCGAGAGGACAGGGCCCAAGCCTAGTTTGTTCACCTCCGCATCAGCACAGCCTGGCCCAGTGCAGGCAAGGGGCAGGTGCTCAGTGAGTATTTGTTGAATGAATTCTTGTGAATGGGAGTTAGAGCCTGGAGATTTCAACCCCTTCCATGGCTGAGTTTTCCTCTTCCTAAGATGAGAACAACTTGTATGTCCCTCAAGCAGGGTGGCAGGTGGTTAAGTGGCCACCTGAAACCATTCCCAACCCCTTTCTCTCCTTATCGAGATTGGAAATAGCCTAAGGCTCACTTTCGTAGCTTTTCTTTCACCTAGAATTGGCCCAGTAATTTCTAGCCAGCAAGACACATATACATCTGGGAGAGTTTCTGGGGAAGATCTTTCTCTCCTTGAGAGGCACTGGAGGAAAAATCTGCTACCCAGACTGCCCTTGCTCCCTGCCCCTGAGTGCAGTTGTGTATGTGATGCTTGGAGCTGCTGGAGCCATCTTGAAGCTTTGAGGGAAGGTTAACAAGATCATTAAGCTTCTAATCCAGAGGCACTGAGCCAACACTAATCATGTCCACCTCCAGATTCTTTGTTACGTGGGAAAAATAACCCTACTATTCAAGGCATTTTAATTGGGCGTTGCTCTTGAAGCCGAGAGCAATTTTCATGACCAGCCATTTCCAAAATGCGTTCTGTAGATGAGATGTTAACAAGTGATACAGAGGTAGGGAGAGGGGGGATTTCTATCAATAAGCAATTTATTTAACCCTCACAACTGCCCTATGAGGTAGATAATATTATCTCCACTCTATAGATGAGGAAACTGAGGCACAGTTTCTGACTTTGTAGCCAACACTCAACCACTAGGTTATAATGCCCGTCTCAATGCTATTTTCTAAATTTTAAAATGCTACGAAGCCAATTAGATCAGTTTGGGGAACTCTCTAAAAAAGGTTAGAAGTGAAAGGAGGACAAGGAAACCATAAACAGAATGAAAAGACAACCTAGTGGATGGGAGAAGATATTTGCAAATGTTATGACCAATAAGGGGTTAATATCCAACATGTATAAACAGCTCATACAACTCAACAACAAGAAAACAAACAACCCAATTAAAAAATGAGCAGAAGAAGTGAATATACATTTTTCCAAACAGGAGTTGCAGATGGCCAACAGGCACATGAAAAGATGCTCAATTATCAGGGAAATGCAAATCAAAACCACCATGAGATATCACTTCACACCTGTCAGAATGGCTATCATCAAAAGGAACATGAATAACAAATGTTGGCCAGGATGTGGAAAAAATTTACAGTCCTATTGGTGGGAATGTAAATTGGTAGAGCCACTGTGGAAAACAGTATGGAGGTTTCTCAAAACACTAAAAATAGAACTACCATACGACCCAGCAATCCCACTACTGGGCACATATCTGAAAAAAACGAAAGCACTAATTTGAAAAGATACATGCACCCCAATATTCATAGCAGCATTATTTACAATTGCCAAGATATGGAAGCAACCTAAATGGTCATCAACAGATGAATGGATAAAGAAGATGTGGTAGATATATACAATGGAATATTACTCAACCATAAAAAAGAACGAAATTTGGCCATTTGCAGCAAATGGACTTGGAGGGTATTACGCTAAGTGAAATAAGTCAGAGAAAGACAAATACTGTACCATATCACTTATATGTGGAATCTAAAAAATACAACACACAAGTGAACATAACAAAGAAAGAAGCAGACCCACAGATATAGAGAACAAACTAGTGGTTACCAGCGAGCACGAGGAGAGGGAAGGGGGGAGGGGCAATACAGGAGTGGGAGAATAGGAGGTACAAACTATTATGTATAAAATAAGCTACATGCATATATTTTGTAACATGAGGAATATAGCCAATATTTTATAATAACTAAATGGAGTATAACCTTTAAAAATTGTGATTCACCATATTGTACACCTGTAGCATATAATATTGCACAGCAACAATACTTCACAAAAAATAAATATTTTTTTTCAAAAAGTAAAAGGAAGACAAAAGATAATATTTTATTAAAAAATGGGTGTAAACCAAATAAATCAGCTATCCTACTAATGGATACTGAGGGCTTAGATGTGTCAGGCCTCAATCATGAGCAGGGATGTGCAGTATTATAAATGAGGCCCCAGGCCTCGAGCTTACAACACTGTTATGGGCTGATTGTACCCCTCCCCCAAACTCCCCCAATGCCCCAGCCCCTCAGAATGACTATATTTGGAGACAGGGCACTGAAGGAGGTAATTAAGTGAAAAGGGTTCATTAAGATGGACCGTGGGACTTTCCCAGCAGTCCAGAGATTAAGACTCTGCCTTCCAATGCAGGAGGCTCGGGTTCGATCCCTGGTCAGGGAACTAAGATACCACACGCCGGGTGGTGTGGCCAAAAAAAAAAAAAGATGGGCCCTAAACCAATACGGCTGCAGTCCTCGTAAGAAAAGGAGACTAGGACTCAGACGTACACAGAGCGGGGACCATGAGAAGACGTGGGAAGAAGAGGCTTCAGAGAGGTCAACCCTGCTGACACCTTCGATTTCTGTCCTCTATAACTGTGAGAAACAAATTTCTGTTGTGTGAGCCACTCTGTCTGTGGCATCTTGCTGTGGCAGCTCAAGCAGACTAATACAAACACCTGATACTCACACATGGTCATAAAGACACAGGCACAAGGACGTTAAGTAAAGCAAATTTCACAACAGCAGAAAAACCCCAACAATGTCCATTAATGTCTTAATGTCTATCAAGAGAAGGTTGGTTAATAAATAAACTGAGGTTCTCCCACACCATGGAATGTTCTGCAGCCATTAAATGAGACCTCTAGGTGCAGATGCGGAATGATTTTCAAAATATATCCTGGGGGGCTTCCCTGGTGGCGTAGTGGTTGAGAGCCCGCCTGCCGATGCAGGGGACACAGGTTCGTGCCCTGGTCCAGGAGGATCCCACATGCCGTGGAGCGGCTGGGCCCATGAGCCATGGCTGCTGAGCCTGTGCGTCTGGAGCCTGTGCTCCACTAAGGGAGAGGCCACAACAGTGACAGGCCCGCGTACCGCAAAAAAAACAAAAAACAAAAAAAAAGACTCAAGAGGAGAGGAGGCCTGATTTAGCCAACATTGTTTACTGTCAGCTTCATGCTTTGGTCATGAGGAGTAAGGAAATGAGGCTGAGCCTGCCAGTTCTGCTTTATGAGTGACAGCTCCATGCTGCCTCCTCCCCCTCCTCCCTCCCCTTCTCCCCTCTTTCCCCCCTTCTCTCCTCCCCCTTTTTTTATATATATAAAAAAATAATATCTATATATATCTATATATATCTATATATATCTCCTAGGGGACTTCCCTGGCGGTCCAATGGTTAAGACTCCACACTTCCAATGTAGGGGGCACAGGTTCGATCCCAGGTTGGGGAACTAAGATCCCACATGCTGCATGGAACGGCCAAAAAAAAAAAAAAAAGGAAAAAAAATTCTGAAGTGATGAAAAGGGACAAAGCAGACTGTGGAGTTCGTTACCCATCACACAAACAAAAGGGCCATGTGGAAAGTTCAATGAACCCTGAGAAATCCACCTCCATCTGGCGTAGGGATCAGGACCCACTTTAACCTGTGTGCCTTTTTCTTTTCTTTTCTTTTCTTTTTTTTTTGTACGCAGGCCTCTCACTGTTGTGGCCTCTCCCACTGCGGAGCACAGGCTCCGGACGCGCAGGCTCAGCGGCCATGGCTCACAGGCCCAGCCGCTCCGCAGCATGTGGGATCTTCCTGGACCGGGGCACGCACCCGCGTCCCCTGCATTGGCAGGCGGACTCCCAACTGCTGCGCCACCAGGGAAGCCCCTGTGTGCCTTTTTGTATGACTTTAATTTTTTTTCTTTTGTAGGACTTTAATTTTTTTTTTAAGTCCATAGCACATTAGCAGCAGTAGTGTCTAAACCAGGGGTTGGCAAACCATGGCCTGAGAAGCAAGTCTGGCCTGTGACTTGTTTTTGTGCCGCCTGTAGGCTAAGAATCATTTTTACCTTTTTAAAGAACTATGAACAGAAACAAAGACTGTAGGGCAGAGTCCTGTATGTGGTCTACAAAGATGAAATCTTTGTTATGTGATTCTTTGCAGAGAAAGTTTGCCGACTGCTGCTCTAAACAGTAAGTTCAAAGCAGGGAAAATGATTTGTATCTGGAGGATACGAAAGAGGTTCTCTGAGGACAGACCTGGCTTGCCTTGTGGGCGATGATGGCTGAGATGCTCATAAGGGGGTGTCCAGGCAGGCCAAACCGCAGGACAGATGCACACAGGAGTCTGAGAAGGAGGCGGTTGGGGCCAAGGGAGGTCCGCTTCCACTAAAGCAGGGGTCACAGGACACGCTGTTAGAAACAAAGTTGGTACTCAACTGAGATGCCAACCTAAGGCCTGTGGACCTCCTTCTCTAAGAGCAGGAGGCCTCTGAGTTAGAGGTGACCACAGCAGTCATCTGGTCTACCCCTTTGACTTTGTGGATAAATGGCACAGAGCAGCTAAAAACATGACCTGCCCAAGACCACACAGCTAATGAGACACAAGGCCACTGTCCTTCTGCTCAGCGCTCTTTCTATAGCAGGCAAGGGAGAAGGAAATGGAGGAAGACCAGCATGGTGATGGCTGGAATGGAAAAGAAAGAAATCCAGGTAAGTGGTGGTGCAAAGGGAGAATAGCAGGACTTGGCTCTACTTGTGCCACTGGGGGCAGGCGCAGTGGGGGATGGACCCATGGGACTCGACACTAGGCCTGGGAGAAGGGCAGGCGCCCCTCAATCCAGCAGCGACCTCACTAAGCACAGGGATGGCTGGGTCGATTTCTAATCAGAAGAAAATGGGACATGACTGTGGAGAGGCAGGTTTCTCCTGCTTGGTTACACTTGCTTTAAAACAGGCAGGTACTGATCCCAGAACACCTGTTCCAGCCTGTATCCTCCAGTAGTTAGACAACACACACAGACTCACACCGGCCAGTGTGTCAACTCATAGAATCCTATCAAAGGACAGGACCCTATCCTATCTGTATACTACTGTGGGATCCTAGGACTCTACCTTGGTTGCACACAGAGGCCACTTTAAAACTGTGATTGGGAGAGACTCACCACCATCAAACACCCAGGTATTTTTTTTAAGACTTAAAACAAAAATTCCTGATAAAGACTTAACGGTCACTAAAGTAGCCCCAATCACACACAAACCCATCAGTGTCTGCTGTTAAATAGGTAAGGAAAAACATGCATGTCATGGGTATTTTCCTTTTAATCATGATTAAAAGGTAGTTCTCCTCCGACGCTTGTTTATGACTCTGCCCTCTGCCCGGCTGGCATTGAAAGCCGTTTCAAAAAAATCAAATGCAAATTAAGGAAGGAAGACAAATGCTCTGTTGCCCCTCATTTCTAACTTCCAATAGGGAACTGGACGGCTGAACAAGGGGGAGAGCTGGATGCAGGCGGCAGGGTTAAGATGCAGGTGCTTGGGACCAGCAGCATCTAGACTGACCTGTAGAGGGTAAGGGAGCTGATGGCAGACCTGTGACCCACCTCCCGGTGCAGAGAAGTGCACGCTGGGGACCAGCTCCCCACTCTCCCAGGCACCCACCTCTCCAGACTATTACGGGAGCGTTAAGGACGCTCAGGATGTGCCACACAAGCATTTACTGGGTGGTGTGGTAGCATCGTGATTACAAAGACAGGCTTAGCAAATCGACAAGAGGAAGGGCTGGGGCAGCCTCGGACGCGGGGCAGCCTCGGACGCTGGGCAGCTTCTGCGGGACTACCGGGCTTCCTCCCTCCATCCCGCAGCACGGCAAGCTGATCCAAGCCACCTCTAACACGTGACCCGCCTGGACAGGCAGCAGAGGATGGCTGGGGAGACTACAAGGCTGCTCATCACAGCTTAAACAGGGCATCTCTAGTGCTGGAGTCCTGGGGGGAACTTGTCCTTCCTTCTTTTCTGAATTGTTTGACAATTCATTAACAAGGCTGTATCTTTTTATTAAAAGGACAAAGTAATCTTTTTTTAAAATTTAAAATGTATGTCATGTAGCTCTTACCAAACACCCTGCAGGACAAGCCAGAATCTCAAACTTCCTATTTTGTACTATGCCCTACAGCGCTGAGCCTTCCTCCCTCGTTTCGTGTTTTGTGTAAATGCTCATTTTCAGGGTAGGCAGATGTTTCCTGCCATAGACCCTCACATCACACAAAGGACGGAACTAACCCAGTAACTTTCTGCACACACTCATCAAGTGCCTGTGCTCATGTGCTGACCAGGCTGGGGGTCGTGAGCAAGGCGGGGGGATGATGGCCGCTCCCCTGGCCTCATGGACAATGGGACACTTACTTGTCGAGCAGCCCCTTCTGTTTGAGTATGCGGTACACCTCGGCCGAAGTCTGAGGTCCTTGCAGCTTCTGCCCATTCAGCATCTCCTTCTCCAATTCTTCGATGGTCTTAAAAACAAAGGATGAAAACAATCTCCTGTAAAATCTAGAGCATCACTTATTTTAAGAGCAGAGTAGGGGAGGAGAGCTGCAAGCCAAGAAAAGATAACGACATACAAGGCAGAGGGTGTAGGACTGAAGCACTTTTAAGCAAAGGCAGATGGGGGTTAGCAGAACAAGCCCAGCACACACAGCCTCCACCCACAGGTTAGCGGCTCTCCCCAGACTGGGATCCCACACCGGGGGCTACCTTTCCGGTCCTGGCAAAGGCCTCGGCCACCCTGCGGTTCCGGCCCCCATAGCAGGTGGTGATCAGATCAGCCACGCCGCAGCTCTCCAGGAAGGTGGCCGTGGACACCTGGCCCTTGCAGAAGATCCTGGCAAAGGCGATCATTTCCATGAGCCCCAGGCGGATGACAGCGGCTTTGGTGTTGTCGCCACAGCGGAGGCCGTCGCAGAACCCGGCTCCCACGGCCACGATGTTCTACAAAGGAGACAAGAAGCCCGGGGATGCCATCACACGCCCGCTGGGGGAGAGAATGCAGGGAAGGAGGGACACTGGCTTCCCTGCGTCCCACACGACCCAGGGTTCTTTTTTTTTTTTTTTTTTTTTTAACATCTATTTATTTATTTGGCTGTGCCGGGTCTTAGCTGCAGCATGCGGGATCTCCGTTGCTGCGTGCGGGATCTTTTAGTTCCAGCATGCAGGATCTAGTTCCCCGACCAGGGATTGAACCCAGGCCCCCTGCATTGGGAGCTCAGAGTCTTAACCACTGGACCACTAGGGAAGTCCCACGACCCGGGGTTCTGCTTTTGTACCCGTGAGAGAGAGTAGAAAGAAGGGACCAGGCTCCCATATTCCCATTCACAGGGCAAAGAGCCTACACCTGTGCTCAGAGGGCGGCATCAGCCAGAATGGGAACGGTGGATGGTAGTCTCTGGTCAAATACTGTTTGAACAAATGGTTTTTTTTTTCTTTTTCTTTTTATTTGCAATAGGTGCTTTTATTTATTTTTTTTCCCTCCCTCTTTTTTTTCTTTTATAGTTGAATAAATCAAAGGCTTTATTCAACTATAACATTCACAGAAAAGTAGTCAAATCATAAGTGCACAGCTTGATGAATTTTCACAAACCAGACACACCTGTGTAACCAGCTCCCTGATCAAGGAGTAGAACCTAACCAGTGCCCCAGGAAGCCCCCTCTGACTTTCTCCTGGTCACCCCTGCACCAAAGGTTACCTCTCTCCTGACTTCTAATGGCACAGGTTTACTTTCCTTGTCCTTAAACTTTATATGAATAGAATCATACAGGGTGTAATCCTTCGTGTCTATCTTCTCTCTCTCAATTTGACATCACGTTTGTGAGCTTCAGCCGTATTTTTACACATAACGCATTTATTTTCATTGCTATGTTATATTCCATTGTGCAAATATACTGCAATTTATCTGTTCTGTTGATTGGCATAGGGGTAGTTTCCAGTTTGGAGCCATTACAAATGGCTCTGCTATGACACCTGGTACATGACCTCTGGTGGCCGTGAGCAGGCACTTCTGTTGGGAGCGTACCTGGGTCAGAATTGCTGCGTGATGATGAATGCATACGTGCAAATCAAGTTTCTGCCTTTTGTTTCATTTAATAATCCCTGGGATTTCCCTGGTGGCACAGTGGTTAAGAATCCACCTGCCAATGCAGGGGACACGGGTTTGATCTCTGGTCTGGGAAGATCCCACATGCTGCGGAGCAACTAAACCCGTGCGCCACAACTGTTGAGCCTGTGCTCTAGAGCCCATGACCCGCAACAAGAGAAGCCACTGCAATGAGAAGCCTGCACACTGCAACAAAGACCCAACTCAGCCAAAAATAAGTAAGCAAATAAATAAATAAATTTAATAATCCCTAAATGAGCATTTCTGAAGCGCTGGGTTGTTGCGTGGCTCTTTGCTGCACACCAGGCAGATCAGACACAGACTTGCCTCTTCAGAAGCTGATAACCTAGTTCGGGGGTCAGCAAATCAGGGCCAAGTGTTATAAGTAACGTTGTACTGGAAACCAGGAACTCCCGTTCAGTTACATACTGTCTGTGGTTGCCTGTGTGCTGTCAACAGATCTGAGTAGTTGTGCAGAGACCTCTAAGGTCTGCAAAGCCCACATTTTCTAACGAGCTCTTCTGGAAAAAGTTCGTGACCTCCAACTTAGCAGGAAAATAAAACCTGTGCACAAATCACAATGATGCTCAGCAGAAAGCGATATTCCGTAAGAGGTACTGAAGGTTGGGTCTCATTTCAACCCATGTGTACTGAGCGTGCACTGTGGGAAGCCCTGCTGGACCCTGGAGGGGCTGAGGGTGCCCTCAGGGGGCAGGAGGCTGCAAAGATAGAATCAGACACAGGGTGTCCTCAAGGAGTTGACAATATCACTGGGAAAAGACACAGAAAAGCACATCAGGAGACAGAAGGACGAGATTGTGCAGAGAAGCTTCATTTCAAAGCAGGGAAGCCTGCATGGAGGAAGTGGCATCTGAACTGGGTCTCAAATCCTATGTAAAACCAGACAATCACATATGCCAAGTAGTGCCTGAGTGGAGGTGACAGGGGGTGGCGGTGGGGGGAGGGGTGGACTTGTTTGGGACACCAGTCAACCCTCAGGTTGCCAGCTCTTTCCATGTTACCAGCTCCCTCTCCAAGAGCACTCAATGCAGGAAAAAATCCAAGTATTCTGCCCCTGTCTAACCACACAAGCATTTTGCCATAATACCTGATGCCTATATATGGATTTGTGCCTTAAGACCTTAAACTGTGAAGCCAGTTAGTAACAATGAGAAATAAGCTAAAATAAGTGCATTTCTTCCTCACTCCCCCTAATTTTTAAAAATTAATTAAAGACAGAACATTTTTAAAAACATTCAGGACTATAAAATCTGAGGGATAAGATAGAAAATGGAATGACCTGGGGAGGAAAAATGTCTTCTCTGGTTGATATGCAGTTTTTTATAAGACAGATCACACACAGCACTGATGTGGCCAGGCTCTCCCTGACAGGACGCGGCCACTTCAGATGAAAAAGTTCCCGTGAGCCCTCTAGAAGCTTCGGTGGGCTTCCGACAGAGCAGGACCCTCTCCTGGCTCCCTGGGTGGCAGCAGATGAAGACAGCTGAACGAGGGAGCTGAAGGCAGGGGCCCTAAAGGAACCTTCCCTTCCTCAGCAATCACATCAGGCCTTACTCTGGTTCTGGCTATTCCTCTGCAAAGGCCAGGATCCACGCAGACCCCAGCTCCTACAGCTGCAGGCGGAGCTGAGGAATCCAGCCTCCTGACCCGGGAGCATGTTTTCATAAGGTACCACCTCTGCCTGTACCTGTGAGCTTCTCCAGTCCTTCCCACCACACAGGCAATGCAGACTGTAGGTCTCAGCAGCTACCTGACGGCAACCACCAGCCCCAAGCACCTGCTGCGTGTGCACAGGGATGGGGGGAGGGCGATTCCTGGCTGGGCGCGCTTGGCATCTGGCAGCATCACGTGCAGAGGAGAGGGGACAGGCAGAGTGAAGGAGGGGGAGAGATGCTGACGGGCGGACTGGGATCCATTCTGCGGCTCTGCCCCAGAGCTGCTGAGTTGGGATGGAACAGCCGGCCCTTTTAGATGGGACACTGTGCAGAGACCAGGAGCGAGAGAACACCCAAGGCTGGGCCCAAACAGGCCCAGTCACCCCTCCTGGCATAGCAGCCAAACTGAGGAAGCGCATAGGGAGATACGAGGGGCACACGCATGACATCCAGTGGGCTTCTGGTTCTCAGTCTGCCTTGTCGCTGTGTGACCTTGGGATAATCACTCCATCTGTCTGAGCCTTCTTGGCCTTGGTTGTTAAATTCAGGGCTTGGACGAGATCTCTCAAGGCTCTTCTGCTGGTGACATCCCTCCAGGGAATCTGGATCAGTTGTGGCCTAAACTGCAGTCCCAGGGGACTGCAGACAGTGGGGCAGCCCTGGGGCAACAGAGAGACACCTAAGGATGTGCAGAGAGACTGACCACAGAGACCACGAAGCCAACTGTTGGTGAGCCCACCAAATGGTTTTATCGAGGTTACCATGGCAACATGCCAAGGCGTAGCTTCCAAATGGTTAGATTGTGGAAATGGCTCTCTGATGCCTCCTGGGCTGTGTCCCTGTGCCCCCCCCCCGCTCACAACACAACCCACTCTGGAGGTCACTTGACAAACCAACCCCAGCCAACGTCTACAGACTGGATGGGACATAACACGGACGTCCTTTCAACAAGGGGCTCCTACGGATTATTTACAAAGCGCCTACAGTGAGCCCACCAGGCCACTGCACACACAGTCTCATCCAAATTCTCATGGCAACCCCGGCAAGTGTGTGCCTGTCCCCCTGGCTGGCTCAACGAGGGTCAACGGCTTGCCAAGAACGCCCGGCTGGTAAGTGATGCACATGGGACACGCCCCCGGTGCCTGGCTCCACGGGCCCACTGTTCCCTGTCCCCTGCTGCTTCCATGGTATGGCAAATGTGGCCTGGCCACTCCCACCCCTCTCCGGGTCCAAGAGACCTTCCTGAGACCTCTGCAACCAGATATCAAAGAGGACTGCCTCTTGGGCCTGCATGGAGGCTCAGGAGGCAAAAGCAGAAGGCCTAGTAGGAGAAAAGATTTATGGGAAAGAATAACAAAAATAACAACAAAAGTTAACCTTATTGATACGGGGAGGGGGAAGGGTAAGCTGGGACGAAGTGAGAGAGTGGCATGGACATATATACACTACCAAATATAAAACAGATAGCTAGTGGGAAGCAGCTGCATAGCACAGGGAGATCAGCTCGGTGCTTTGTGACCACCTAGAGGGGTGGGATAGGAAGGGTGGAAGGGAGACGCAAGAGGGAGGGGATATGGGAACATATGTATATGTATAGCTGATTCACTTTGCTATACAGCAGAAACCAACACACCGTTGTAAAGCTATTATACTCCAATAAAGATGTTAAAAAAAAAAAGTTAACCTTATTGAACTGTTTCTAAGTGCTTCATATATTATTAACTGATTTAATCTTCACAACGTTCCTACAAGGCAGGTCCTGTTACTACACACAGTGAGAGGCAAGGAAACTCAGGCACCTGGGTAAGTAGCACACCCAAGGTTGTACAGTCAGGATCAAGAGAGCTGGGTTTCGAGCCCTGGCAGCCCAGCTTCCTAGTTCTCTCCAGGGAGCAGATCACGCAAGGCTGCTCCAGGCCGGTGAGTGGAAGGCACAGAGGGGCCAGCTCAGCAAGACAAGAACTTTCTAACAAGAAGAGTTGACCCCACCCAACGGAAAAGATCGAAGCAAAGGGAGTGCGCTCTCAGTCACTGGAAGCATCCAAGCAGGAGCTGTAATGCACGAGCCCTGAGCTCCAACGCGTGCTTCTAACCTTCTATGTCACTGTGCTCAGAGAAAAGGCAGAGGAGGGTGCCCGTGGCCCAGGGGCACACAGGTTGG